TAAAAAAAAAAAAAAAAAAAAAAAAAAAAAAAAAAAAAAATAGAGAAACATGACTGTACTAACAAAAAATATATGTAAAAGGATACATATTAGAATGGATTCTAGTAAAATGATCTCTCTTAACAGAATTAATATAAGTCAAACTAATATCGATTTGTTCAAGTATCCATCCTGTCAAGACTCGTTATCAGTATTATATCTCTCTCTCTCTCATTACATTGACATAATATCTCTTAATTTAAATCTCACAGAAGAAGAAGAGACCATGATAGTAAATAAAAGAATAATCGTATGTGCGGTTGTGAATTGAGAAGAAAAATTGAGGACGAAAGTGAAAGATAAAAAAAATCGTTTTTAATTATAATGCGATTGCAATGATGCATCATCGCGTGATGATCGAATGGAAAGTGAATGGTAAAGGTGTAATTTGTCGTGAGGAATAATATCGGGAGGGCAGACTCGGATGACGCTAGGACGTCACGGGGGTCGCGACGACCACCGGCGGCATCATGGCGTGTATCAGGGCGCCAAGATCCGTGCGCGGTTCTATCGACGACATCAAGGCCGAGTCCACGCGTAATGTTGTGCAGGTAATTCTTTCCTTCCCGCTCTCTCGTATCTTTTTCGCCGAGAGATGTCAAATATGTTTACAACTATACTTTTGCGAATCTATCGACATCTCTTTACGAATTTATTATTGTTACCGCTATTTTTGGATATGACGCGAAGAAAAAGCAGCTATACAATTAAATGTACTTGAAAATAAAAAGCACCTACAGATCAAACGATTCAAAATAGATTCAGACCAAATGAAAACAAGACAGTTGAGACACACTCGTCCTGACATTTGGAGATATATAAATTCATAAACGTTTACATTGTACACTTGGTGAAAAAAGTTAATGTATCAGAAACATCTTGAGTGATGAATATCTACTTATAATGGTATTATTTTATTCTGCGAACATTTTTTTATTTTATTACTTAAGAATATAATTGAATCAATTATTTTTTTTTTCATAACATCAACATTTTCAAAAGTTTCAAACAATAATTGATTTTATATCAAACCAAAATTACGCTATATTAATATAGACATAATGGACTATCTTACTTTCCTGTCTCAACGAGTTTCTTTAACATATGTGTTCCGCACGATCTTGCTTCAGCAAAGAGAGAGAGAGAGAGAGAGAGAGAGAGAGAGAGAGAGCACTCTTCATTTTTCTCTCTCTCTCTCTCTCTCTACTGAAATACTCCGGGAAAGCCCAGAGATTTCATCGGGAAAGTGGAAAAAGAATCTGCGAAACGGCAACCCCATTGCGACCGCTGTAATAATGGCGACCTGAGATCATGAAGCAAAACCCTCCGTGCGTCCCTTCGTACCGCTCGCGTCTCTTTGCGCGCTCAAAAATAGTACGCGATGACTAACTCTCTTCTCTCCTCACTCTCTGCGTGGCTGCTCCTCTGTCCTCCTCTTTCTCTTCCTCTTCCTCTCGTCTCTGTACGACAACCAAGTTTGTGTCCCCTTGCGCTTTCCGTCGTCCAGAGCTGCGAGCTGCGAGCGAGTGCACGGCGCGGCTTGCCTCTTCGGTGACTCAAGAGCTGCTCCTCGCTCGCTCACGCTGAAAAGCCTGGCGCTTCGCCAGCGCGGTAAACGCGTCAGGACAATTCATGCTTCCGCGCGTGATTTATATCCTCGGTGCTCACTTATAGATATGAACATATTAAAAAAATTATCAGATATCAGACAATCACATTTTCTTGAGAAATATTTTATTGTTGTCGCTCGTTTTTTACATATAAATTGGAAAGTATCGCTACAATCACTCTGTGATTGTAATACGCAAAAGTACCATGTTGATGTAAACAAGGAAAATAATGCACACATAAATTATAATTTTATAATTTTATGAAAAATTACAAAATTTTTGTTTTACACATATATATACGTACAATGAATAATATGCAAATCCACGGTGCAAAATCTGGTGTAATAATTAACAGCGCGAATATCAATATTTGAAACTTTGCACTTGACAAAATGTGAATATCTGAGTAATATTGATTTGGCGTTTATAAATTTGTCCAAGAGTTCTTCCATTTGAATATTCGACAAATAAATATGGAACATGCACGATGACAAAAAGTAGCGACAGTCAAGCACCTGCGACGCAATAAAATAGTCAAGTGAAAAAAAAGAGAGGAAAGGAGTAAGAGAAGGAGAAAGGATTGCGTGTTAATAAACGTAAGTGTACACTTGCACGAGGTTGCAATCAGCGAGAGATAACACCCACATGACGTATAGGTCGCCGCATATGATGGAAATGCAAATGGATGCGTCGCGCGTCGTGCTGTTTTAGTCAAAAGGGAAAACGACAGAAAAAGAGTTTGCGGAGCTTCGCGGTCAGCTGCAAATGCATTCAATTTCGTCGACACGCCAGGCACCTGTCGCGCATTATGCGAATAGGCGTTCTCAGGACCATCGAGACTTGCGATGTCATCAACGACACACTAATTGAAATTTTGTACAGTGATCGAAAATTTGCCACGTAATTGATACGATTTATAACATAATTAGAGTGATGCAATAACCAAGATTTATGCCCTAATTAGAGGTGCGACTTGAATTTACGATGTTATGTTGAAGCTTCGCCGCATAATTGGCGGAAAACTTGGATCGCAATATAACGTATTGCATTAACAAGGAGGAGGAATCTAACCCGGCAACAAATTAACTGTGTTCGACATACTAATAAGATAAATCAAATCACAGGATTGCAACAGCAACGTGATAGACTTTCGAAGTGTACATTTGTCCGTAAGTGCTCGTTAATGCACTTCTCCACACTTTAATCCATTCACTCGCTATGAAATGACTATGCACGATGCGTAATTTTCTTATTTCATGCGCGTAGCTCTCTAAAAATATTCATGCAGATTTTTTAATTTTATTTTCTCTATCTATTGAAATTTAATTTATCTAGCAACATTTATAAAATTATTTTCTTCTATCAGTATTATTTGCTATTTTTTCTCACACCTATTTTATATGTATTTTATATTAATTACATATTTATTACAGAATATAAAGGATAAAAATTTCAGAACAATAAATTGTGAAGCATATATGTACATGTTGAATACAAGATTTTGCATGATTTGACATGCCGTAAGAAGCGAGTATATTTTTCGAGGTAAAAAGATTTATATTCCACCAATCAGCGTTGTTTACTTTGCTTTTCCCACTTCAACACGGGATTAACTTAAACAAGTTTGATTGGTGCTCGCAATAATATTATCACAAATTTTCTTAAATTAGTCTGGATACCCATATTTAGGAAAATAGTCAAATTCATCGGGAAATAAAATTATTTGTTTTTTTTAAATTTATTTTTTAATATAATAAGATATAAGTGCTCGTAATTTGTATTTCATCAAAAAACTTTTAATAAATTTTCAACATAGGAAATAATGAATGTTTGCGAGGAATTGAGGTTATTTGTCATTTTTGCAAACACAAAAATCTGTAGAGCTGAAGCAAGCAATGAAGAAATAATGACCATATAACTGCAGGATGAAGAAATAATAATCGATCGATCGATCGACTATTAAAGT